TTTCAAATGTCAAGCATTTCTTATTTCAAAGTATACTTTACCCCCATGAATCCCTCCGTTCCTCCCGTTCCCTATTTCAATTCACGAAATCTGCTCATCTTTTCACTCACGAATAGCCTTCAGTTCGTCGACACCCCTCGTTCACAATAGCGAATGGGTATGTATTGGACGGAGTCATGTCAACCCTCACATAAAGGCGCAATTCACATTGCCAACAAAGGAGTGTGAGGGCGGATCGAGGCACTTATGTGTCTCGGTGTGTGGAAGGTCCAGACGATTCAAGACCAGTTTCCCCGACCCTGTCCAGGAACTCCCTCACTCCAGTTGCCTCGCTCGCTTTCAGTGCTAAACGCATCCCTCGAAACATCTGGTGAACGCGGCTCATCAAAAACGTGTGCCACGGCGTAATAAATGCTGAAATCGGGAACAATTGATGCGAAACGGTGATGAGGCGCAGATCATAAAAGCACTGCGGCAGCAGATGTGTTACCCATATAGCGCGAAGACGATTCACACTGAGGCCCGTGGCCCATTAGTGACAATAATAGCCGCGAATCGAACCGTTGCTTTATGGCCCAGGACCGTTACAATACCTTCGCTACTGAATCACCCAATTTTACAGCTCTTTAGGCCAAATCGGTCAGTTAAGCAGGTAGGGAACTTCTTGATAGGATCAGTCGGCAGTCGGCTATAAAAATGAAGAAAATTAAGAAGTTTGTTTGACAGCAGAGGGTCGACAGAGATGCTGAAACATTTCGGTGCTCTGTTTCTCTACTAAATGATCTCTACTTCTGTACATATCCTTTGGCATGGTTTAGCCCCTCGCTAGTGATCAGCTCTCCGGTGACGGGCCCCATGAAATCTTTTGTCCATTTCTACCTCACAGCAACCTAAGCGACCTTAAGTACAAAATCGGTCCATCTGAAATTTCCGACAGCGCTTGGTGTTTGCCCCCTTGGAAAAGGGTTTCGCCCCATTTTACCCATTTTCTCGTTGAAGAATATAAATCTGATGTGCGCTGTGTGTCCAAAATAATCCTATTAGTTTACCACAACCAGTTCGTACGTCTACATCACAGGCGTTGATCGTAAAATTTTTCAACGTCAGTTTGAAGGTCTTCGACTTTAGGTGGACAAATCGCTCCACTCACATTTCCGTCGATCGTAAATCCCTTCGCTGCGTAATTAGCCATGCCGCGGATGATGTCGGCGATGTTGCCTTCGATCACGGTGACAAGGCTGTTGTTCAGCTTCAGATTCGTCACTGAAAAGAGCACATTCAAAAGTAAATAATATCAAAATTAAGTTCACAACTAAGTTAATAACTAACAAAACAATGAATGAAAAGAAACTTGATTTACTGAGTCCTTTCCTTTGCCTTCTCAACTGGAAATGATGGAGTAATTCAAAAAAATGCTTTTTTATCCAAGGGTTTTTTAAGAAAATCAGAGCGGAAGAGCCTATTTATGAGAACGCAAGTCGCTTCATGTTTGACTCCTTTTTCAGGGCTTTTCAAATGTAACTGAATTGAAAGCAATCCTACAAAACAAAGTTGAAAAGGGAACATCATTAAGAAATAGAGGGTAGCAGTCAAAACACTCGCTCGGCTGTAGCGAAGTCTAGAAGCTTCTCACCAATGAGGTTTTACTTGTAGACAAAAATCTACCCCATTAAGATAAAGGATAAAGCATTTGCCGTTGATCAATCCCTTTTTGGGATGCGGCACGCATTCTACTTCCATTTGTACATTCGTTTTGAATGCGATGTGGCCTATACAATGACTTGCGGGGGCCAGCCGATGTACAAGTCAGTGTTTTTATCCTCCCAGACAAGTCTGGTACCAATTAACCGACCCCGGAGGGATGGAAGGCTTGGTTGGCCCGGGCGACTCACGACCCAGGATTTGATCCCCGGACCGCTCGCGTGGTAAGCGTGCCACTTGCCACTACACCACTTCCGCCCTGCTCTGCCCCATTATTCTCTATAAGTTTACTTATAATGCTGGGTTCAAATGTAGTTGTTGAATATATGTCAAACCAGCCTTATGCGATAAAATGGACCTAGAACGAACGACTCCTTCCCTTGAGCAGGTAGGCGAAGTCAATCCGCCTATGGGAGGATCAACGCAGTTGATGATACTTGGAATCGCAGATGCATTGGAATAAGTATCGACTATTCTACGCAGTGATATTTGAGAGACTTTTGGTTTTCCGTGCTAGTCCGCAACAGAGCACAAATTTCAAACATGGTTTTACCCTGGATGGCAGGTCCAATCCCTCTCGATTTCAGTTTTAGCAACCTTGCGATTCCTAAGGCATCAATTAACCTGGGTTGGTCTTTGGTTTTGGATTTACCAGCTGGAGTGCGCCCCTCATCAATCGCACCGATTATTGCCTGAGAAATCGTCGTCAACCTGCCTTTTCATCCCATGAAGACCCCAATTTTCGCTACCGTAATGGGTGACGCGACGTTGCGCTGTGTGAACGATGGTGACATTGAAATTTGCATGGAAAATCAAGTGTTAGACTGCATATTAAGTCAAGTGTATTGTTGAAGAGCGGTCGATCGCAGCACTCAAGTGCTGCGCTAGTGAGGCACCTAGTTAGTGCTCTCAAGATCGATGTGTCCTACAAATGGCGCGTTACATCATAACCATTCCGGACACTCAACAACATTCAAAACTTATGGACCAAATCTAACGACTAAAACGCCTTCAGAGGCTTTGTACGGGCAACTCGGCAGTTGTGGTCCCCTCCCTCTTTAAGAAAAAATCGAGAAACAAATGAGGCGGCCCAGGAGTTCAATGAGTGAGACGTCGACTTGAGTTGTTATGGTGAGGTCGAGTTTCAAAA